AGAATGCTTAGAATGTTACTTGGCATATAGGGAGTGCAAAATAAGTGTTAGCTATGATTACTGTGATTACCAACACTTCTTGCAACAACGCAGAGGAGAGACCCCCACAACAAGGTTATCCAGCCCAAACTGTCAAGAATGCAGAGGCTGTATTAAAAATTAAATGATTTGGCTGGTAAACACATGGGACATCCACACTTCAAAAAACACTTAAAAACTGCAGAAAATATTCAGACCTTAATGACAGAGTTAATAATCCAACCTATATACATCAAGACCTGTTAGACAAAAGCGAGTGCCTCATAGTAAAATAGACAAAACTCACTGGTAAAAACAAATGGCCAATACGCATTAAAAAAATCCCCCCAAACAAAAAATAACTCTGCCTCCTAAGTAATCAAAGCAAATTGATGTGAAAGGACGCGTCTAAAGTTACCTGTGCACCTGGCACGGATTTTCTAACGTGCAGTGCTGGTGATGACCACTTCCACATACTGCCAAATGGAAGTCTAAGCCGATTTGAAACAAACAGAAGACCTTCTGGAAAGAAATTCAGCTGGACTTAAGATACATAACTTTTTAATTTTAACTTTTTATTTTGAAAACTACACATTTTAACACAATCACATGATTTTGGAAATCTATTGAAAGAAACAGGTAAGGATGTGTTCAACAGTTTAGTTACAGGAATTTCAGCTCAGCATTGTTTGTTTTGATTAAAACACTGGAAATCTCTAAAATGTCCAATAAGGAGAAACTGATTAAACAATCATGGTGTATCTATATACTGCTCTTAAAATCATGTTATAGCAAGTAGTGACATGAAGGATGTTTCTGATACACTATTTACAGAAAGACATACACATTATATATAGTACATAAATGATTTCTATGAGAAAAATAATACATATTCGAACATGTGTGTGTTATAAAAGTTGATAACATAAATAGATTTTTATTGGGATTGTGTTTATTAATTAAATATATCGGGATGATGTTAGTTAACGAGATTATACAGGTTTCGAGCGCTCACAGGGGTGCTCATAAGCACTGTGAGGGCAGGCACTCTGCTTGCTCTCTGCTTTAGCTCTAACATACACAACAGCATCTGGCAGGAAGGGAAAATGAAATAAAAACTGTTGTTATTTTGCTTATCTACATTTTCTCACTGTTCTGAAATGAAAAAATTAGTTGCAGAATACATTTTTTAAATGTTGCTTTAAAAAAGAATAATTCAACAGCAAAACTGTTTCACAAATAACAGAAATGAAAATGCCGCCTACTTCACAAGGCCATAAGATTTAAATAATAATTGATGCAAATAGGCTTTGTAAACTCTAAAGCACTGCACGAATGTCAGAAACCAGTTATTGTGTTAAGAGCGTACATTTCAGAGTGAAACCGGCCCCATGGATGCGTTGGCAGGCAGCCTGCCCCTCAGCCCTCACTTCCCCGAGTCTGGCCTTCAAGAGCAATTAGAGATGAGTGCAGTGTTACTTTAGAGGCAGACAGTTGCAGTTACAGAGAACTGGTTGAGAATTGGCACCTTCATAAAATGGAACAATATGTCACCATTAAAATTTATCCTGTAGAAACATATTTATTGACATATACTCTTAGCCTCTATTAAAAAATTTGTGTGTATGTAATATAAGTAAAATAATCCTCAGTACAGCTTATTATAGCATCTAATATGTCAAATACTCAAAATAATTATGATTATTCTTATCTTTTTCAATTTAATTCATTCTACTTGAATTTATTCAGCTTTTCACTTTTAGTTTCTCAAGATTCAATCAGCCCAAGCCACTTAAAACATTTTATCTTTTAATTGCTAAACTAAAAACATTTTATGAATTGCTTTCATCCTTTGAAGGCATATCTGATTTAAAGTTACGCTATAATTTTGAATTAAGCATGTGTATGTTTTATAAAACATGTATGTAATTCCTTTCTACATTTTTATGTTAGTGGTTTCTCATATATACATAATGCATATATAAAGATATATATATCTTAATGCCTATAATGCATTATATAAAATATATAAAGATATATATCTTTATATAAAGATACAATGCATATAAATATCTTTATGCATTAGTCGCTACTTCATAAATCAAAAACTGAATCTCATTTTCTCTTCATAGAACAAGTGTAAGAATAGTTTTTCAAAGCTTTATTTTTTTATACTTTCACAGAGAGATCACAGAAGTGGGGTACAAAAAAGAATCACTCAGAACTAAGTTAATAACAGCTAAAGAAGGTATTTAAAAAATACAAACTGGTTTGAATCCTTTCATAAACATGGAGAGTAGTAATGTTTTTCTTCTACCGAACTCTGTTAGAAGCTGAAAAACTTGTATACATACTAACCGCATACGGTATATGCACTCTTTAAGTTAACACCAACTCCCCCCTCAAAAACCAGTAAGGTCTTCCGTTTTGCTGAAGACTATTTCTTTTTTTTTAATTTTACTTGTTTATTTTTACTTTTTAAAATTATTTTATTGTTAAAGTACAGTTGTCTCCATTTTCCCGCCACCACTTTCCCCTGCCCTCCTGGCCACCCCCCACCCTCAATCCTTCCCCACTTCGGCTTTGTCCACGGGTCCTTTATACGTGTTCCCTGATGACCCCTCCCCTTCTTCTCCCCCATTATCTCCCTCCCCCCTCCCCTGGTCACTGTCAGTTTGTTTTTTATTTCAATATTGCTGGTTACAAAAACTATTTCTTTATCTGTTGTTCAAAAACTCAGTTAAACCCTTGTTGCCTAGTATATTAATTAAAGGCACTAATGAAAGTGGCCTCACATTCCTTTAATTTTATGAGACTGCCTACCAACACCAGACCTAAAATATTTCCAACATATTATTTACAAAATATTGTAATTCAGAAAGCTGATCAGTAACACAGCGACAATGTATGATGATGGGAATCACTGAGATTTTTAAAGTACTGTGAGGCTCTGAAGGAAAGGAGGGCCCAAGAAAAGTGGAAGGAAGCAATGTGATGAATACAAGAGGATGAAGCAATTATTCATGTGCCCAACAAGCACCAATTAAGGGTGACATCGCGCCCGACACTGACGACACTGACGAGGCCTGTGGGCGATCAGTGACATGTGCGCAGGGCTGTGCGAGAGCTCCGGAGGGAGACCGGGAGGGGTGCGGGTAAGTGAGATGCTTCCCAGGGCTGCAAACCAACGCGAGCAGGAAGTAACGCCAGAAGGGGCTGGCGCTGCAATTTGCCAGCACCTTTGTCAGTACCGGGAACAGTCCCACCATGCAGCTCTGAGGCTTTCCACAGGGACAGCTTTAAAATCGGCAGACCCCAACTCACCCCCTGTAGCAAAGAAACATCCCACAGACTGCGACAGAAAGTGGCCATCTAAACGCACACTCTTTTTAAAGTTTCTAAAACCTTGGTCTAATATTCAGGTTCTGTAAATTTTTGTCTAAATGTAAATCATTTCATTTCTTTCCTCCAGTTACTTTTTTTTGCTACAGCTGATGGGTTTTTTTTTTTCTTCCCACGAAAATTTCATGACCCACCTTTACTAGGGCAATGTGTGGGGGATGTTGCAGCTTTAAGTCAAGATGGCTCTGCGTTACTTTTATAAAATCTTGGCATTTCTGTTGAACCAAGTGATGCTTATTAGTTTGTTGTTTTTATTGCTTTGTTTTTCTTGAACCCCCACACTTTTATTTTAAACCTTTTATTTAAACCTACATAATCAAATAGGAGCCAGCGGTTAGTATATCGAAGCTAAATCAGCTCTTCAATTAAAAAAAAAAAAAAAAGCCTGAAAACTAGAATAAGTTCCTGGCTGAATCTTATGACATAGATTTATAACTAAATAAAGGTAAAAATTTTTAAATTTTTTTGAAAAACAGACCCAAAATAGCCTTATAAATCCATTTTGCTTATACTGCTTTCCATTCAAATTTTCATTAAAAACATGTTTATTGTGAAACCATAATTTTCTCTTAGCCAAGAAATATGGGAGTGTAGCATAAGGAAGGAGCAATTTGGAAGAGATGGCATCGTGGATTGTAGGAGAGGACAGTACTATTGGTAACGTGGTAGGGCTATTTGAACCTCTCATAAGATTGTTTTGTCTTTAAAAATAATAACAAAAAAATGAACCTTACTTGAAACAGATTCATACTTCTCCAAGTAGCTGATAATTCATTACTAAAACACAATGATTGCAGGCATTATCAAACTAGAATTCCCACATTTTGTGGACTACCAACTTATATATCCACTCAGCCAAGCTGTTTTCCTGCTGGTAACTCGAATTCCTGTTTTAAACCTGTGCCAATTCCTCTTGGGTGTTCTGGTGATGAAAACAACTTTCCCTTAAGTTTTAGCCAAGACTTTTTCACTAAAGTATCTTATGAAAAAGCCACAGCGCTGGAGCACACCACAATGACCAGGAAGGGGGAAAAACTATTTTGGAAAATTATTTTGATGTTTAAAATAATGGGGGAGGGGAGAGATGCATTAAAAAGAACATGCTGATTAAAAATAATATGCTAAAAATAATTAGCTGATTAATAATATGCTAATTTTCATATATCTGGATGCCATACACCGTAAGTATGGATGTCGTAAGTTTACTAAATACTGATGTACTTATTTTTAAAAGTTGGCTATGCATTCTGTTTTGTGTAATAGCGATTTAAAATGGAAACACATCGCACCAAAGAAATGGTGCTCAGGGGAAGGTACCTGAATGACACAAGGTATCCCAGGCACTTGAAGCAGGTATGCTACTGCTCTCTCACCTGAACATAACTGAAAACCTTTCAGCTCCAAAGACAAGACAGATTGGTTAGGCAACCCACAGGCCTCCACAAGATATACAGTGTTAGAAGTTCAGAGTATCTCTTCATGTATACATGATTATGGAAGGCTTTTTAAAAAATGTGACAGTACCACCAACTAGGAAAAAGGAACAATATCAAAATCTAACTGAAAGGTGACAAACTGACCTGATTGATGGAGTTGGCAGCACAGGATGCAAGGCCTGTTCCCACAGAAGCAAGCAGAAAACAGGACCAGTCAAAAGGCCCCGGAGCCAACGCAAATCCAGCGGAGGTGGTGCCCACAACTAGAGCTGCAACAGAGAAAGGGAGCAGGTGTCTCGTTACCACGCAGGTTCCAGACCAAGCCATCTTCCACATAAACCAATCGATTACCTTAACAACATGGACCACAGCTAGTCTTTTATTTAAAAAAATTAAAAAACATTTTTCCAGATTATAAAAATTATATGTGTTCATCACAGAAAAATTCTCATTTTCCTTTAATTCCATTATATGCAAGAGGAAAAAATAAGGTAGGCGTTTTAGATTGGCTCACTCATTCATTCAACAAACATTTACTGAATAACTCATTCACACTCAGTACCATGCTGGGCGTTAGGCACTGTGAGGGACACTGGAGTGAGAGAGGTTAATTCCTGCTCTCAGAGTTTATCTGACAGGGATGTAACAGACATACATACAATAGCAACTATGTAACACAATATAGCAAACAATAAGGGTCTTAATTCTGTGGGTCTTAATTCTACCTGAGTAGAGGGCCTGACCATAACAGATGACGGTCCCAGGGGCCAGAAGACGATGAGGGGTAACTACAGGGAGAGGACAACCCTATGGCCAGCAACAGAAGCAAAAGGGAGAGGCAAGGTGCAGCAGCAAAGCCGTGCAGTTCCAGCACGCGCTGTGGCTGCTCCTTTTCTTTTTCTTTTTTTTAGATTTTATTTGATTATTTATAGAGAGGGTAAGGGAGGGAGAAAGAGAGGGAGAGGAACAGCTATGTGTCCTTGCCTCTCACATGCCCCCTATTGGACACCTGGCCCACAACCCAGGCCTGTGCCCTGACTGGGAGTCAATCCAACGACCCTTTGGTTCTCAGGCTGGCACTCAATCCACTGAGCCACACCAGCCAGGGCATGGCTGCTCCTTTTGTTTAGGCTCTGGTCCTTCTCTCCTGGGGGCTGGGGAGTGTCTAAGAGTGGTACGGAGGCCAGCTGCAGACACTGGGAAAACGACGGCCGTTGGTGAGCTAATCGGGGGCGGCTTCCGGAACCGGGCCCTGAAGCTGGACCTTCAGGACGGGATGCAGAAAAAGGAGACCGGTGGGATGGGCAGCACTGCAGGTGTCTGGGTAATTCCAAGAACGGGCACAGGGGCAAGAAAGACCAGTGTCAAGAGTCTGAAGCATGTGCGGCATCTGCCTAGACTTTCAAACCAAAGAGCTAGGAAGCATGTTTGAGTCTCTCCGTTCTCACCCTTCTCTACATCCCATCGTTGCGAAGTACTGTCTGTGCTTCTTCCACGTGCATTTCCAACACAGCTCAGTGCCATCATCTAGCCCAGCGGTTCGCAACCAGGGTGGCTCTGCCACCGGGGACACCTGGCGAAGCCTGGACACGTATTTATTGTCACACCTGGCACGTGTGGATTCTGCTGTCCTCCAGTGGGTAGAGGCCAAGGATGTTTCTAAATGTCCTATGGTACACGAGACAGCCACAACAAAGACTTTTCAGGTCCAAAATGTCGGTGTAAAGAAATTGAGAAACGTGTGACCTAGTGCAAGCCATTATCTTGCCGGGAGAAAGGCAAGGGCCCCCTTCCTAATTGATCTCCTCTTTCCCCCACCTTGCTCTGCACCCCAATGCCAAGTGCAAATGTAAACATATCATATCTCTCTGCGGCATAGAAAATCTCTGATACTATACCTGGAATAGAATGCAAATTTGCCCCAGCCATACAAGGGCAACTTACACCTTTCTCTAGCTCATTTATTAGTCTCCCACCACAAGGGTCTTTTTTGTTTTTTTAAATTTTTTTATTAATTATATTTTGATTATGCTATTACAGTTGTTCTGACTTTTCCCCCTTTGCCTCCCTCCACCTAGTAACCGCTACTTCCTCAGGCAATCCCTCCACCATTGTTCAAGTCCATGGGTCGTGAATCAATTTCCTATACTGTACTTTACATCCCCATGACTATTCTGTAACTACCTCTTTGTACTTCTTAATCCCCTCACCTCGTCCCTCATTCCCCACACACCCCCCACCCATCTGGCAACCATCAAAATGCTCTCCGTATCCATGATTCTGTCTCTGTTCTTATTTTAGTTTGATTTTTAGATTCATATGTTGATACATAAATATTTATTGCCATTTTATTGTTCATAATTTTGATCTTTTTCTTAAATAAGTCCCTTTAACATTTCATATAATAATGGTTTGGTGATGATGAACTCCTTAGGTTTGTTTTTTGTTTGTCTGAGAAGCTCTTTATGTGCCCTTTGATTCTAAATGAAAGCTTTGCTGGGTAGAGTAATCTTGGCTGGAGGTCCCTGCTTTTCATGACTTTGAATACTTCTTGCCAATCGCTTTTAGCCTGCGAAGTTTCTTTTGAGAAATCAGCTGACAGTCTTATAGGAACTCTCCTGCAGGTAACTGACCTTTTTTCTCTTGCTGCTTTTAAGATTCTCTCTTTACTTTTAACCTTTGGTATTTTAATTATGATGTGTCTTGGAGTGGGTCTCTTTGCATCCATCTTGTTTGGGACCCTGTCTGCTTCCTGGATTTGCATGTCTATTTCCTTCACTGTATTAGGGAAGTTTTTTAATTATTCTTTCAAATAGGTTTCCAATTTCTTGCTCTTTCTCTTCTTTTCACACTCCATGTGCGAATGTTAGACCTCTTGAGGTTGTCTCAGAGGCTGCTTATAGTATCCTCATTGTTTTTGGATTATTTCTTATTGTTCTAATTGGTTGGTTTTTTCTTCTGTATGTTCCAAATCCCTGATCTGATTTTTGGCTTCATCCACTCTACTGTTATTTCCCTATAAATTGTTCTTCATTTCAGTCAGTGTATCCTTTGTTTCTGATTGGATCTTTTTTATTCTGTTGACATCCTTACTAAGTTCCTTGAGCATCCTTATAACCAGTGTTTTGAACTCTGCATCTGATAGATTGTTTATCTCAATTTTGTTTAGCTCTTTTTCTGGAGTTTCAATCTGTTCTTTCATCTGGGCCATGTTTCTTTGTCTCCTTGCTTTGGCAGCCTCCCTGTGTTTGCTTCTATGTATTAGGTAGAGCAGCTTTGACTCCGTGTCTTGGTAGTGTGGCCTAATACAGTAGGTGTTCTGTAGGGTCCAGTGGCACAGCCTCCCCTATCACCCAAGTTGGGTAATGTAGGTGTGCCCTTCGTGTCAGCTGAGTATACCCTCCTCTTGTAGTGGAAACTTGGTTGCTGTTGGCAGATCAATGGGAGGGATTTACCTGGGCCAGTCAGTTGCGAGGACTGGCTGTGACCACTGACCACCACCCTCTGCCCTTGTGGAAGATCAGCTGTGCAGGGGCAGGGTGCTGGTACTCTGACATGGTCTGTAGCTGCCCACTGGGCGCGCAGGCTCTGGGGTTTCCCAAGTGGTGCAGGGCAAGGTCAGCCCAGCCCCCACCTGTGTTCTGCCCTGGGCCACCCTGCCTGGGCTATAAAGCAGTCTGAGATGGCTGCTACTTGTGCTGGGCTTGGAGATTCCCAGGCAAAGCTGAGCTGTGACTCTAGGTTGGCTGCTGCTAGTGCCAGGTCTGGGGCTCACTGAGGCCAGCTGGTGCTTGTTTGAGAAGATTTAGGAAGTTGTGAAGCATGAGCTCAGACCAGCCATTCATATGGAAAAGCAGCTTGGGTGGGCCTGTAAGCTGGGTGGGGTGGAGTGTGGATCTCCAAGGTGGGTCACACAGTGTTAGACAGGTTGACAGAGTCCCAGATATGGCACCAGCTTGCCGGCTCTGTGGTGGGAGGGCTCAGAAAAGGGACAATGGCCTCTGACCACCTTCATGCCAGCTATTTCAGTTCCTCCCTGGTGCCTTTCAAGTTGCTACCTTAGTGCTGAAGCTCAGAGGGAGTAAGTCTGAGTAGGTGAGTCCATGTGTAGGTTCTTTAAGAGGAACCACTTAGGACTCTAGCAGTTTCTTCCATCAACTCAGTCCCTGCTGGTTTTTGCAGCCAGAAGTTGTGGGAATTTATTTTCCTAGCACTGGAACCCTGAGCTGGGGGACCTGGTGTGGGGCTGATCCCGAGATATCACTCCTGAATTCTTATCCACCACATGTGGCTGTGGGAACAGCCTGTTCTACCTCTGCACCCCTCTTACCAGTCTGGATGGATGTGGTTTCTTTAATTCCGTAGCTGTCAGACTTCCATTCACCTCGATTTCTGATGGTTCTGAGTGATGGTTGCTCTATATTTTAGTTTTACTTTTAATGTGTTTGTGGGAGGAGGCGAGCCATGTCTGCCTACGCTGCCATCTTGGCCAACAGTCTCTTTTGTTTTGGGGGTATTTTGTTTTTTAAGTACGCCAAGCTCCTTCTGGCCTCAGGACCCTTGTACTTCTGCTTCCGCTGCCTCCGTCATGAGCAGCTCCTTCTCATCCTTCAGATCTTGCCTTAAACGTTACTTCGTAGAGAGAACTTCCCTGATCATCGTATGTGCAGGAGGCCCTCCCTCACTCTCCTCATCCATTATTATCCCCATAGTCTTCATCACCTGCAGCTCCACGTGGGCATGTGAATCTCCTGAAGGCGGGAGCCCTGACGGCGTTTCACTGCTGCATTTTAAGGGTTACCACTACGCTATGTGGAGAGTAGCACTTACTAGAGGAAGAGGAGGAAGGGTGGCAGCTGTCAGATTGCAGAATATCAAGTGGAGGAGTTTGCCTTTTGTTTGATTGGCAGTAGAGCATCACTGACAGTCTACTTAATGCAGGAACATAATCTATAACTGCAAGTTTAGCCTGGCAGCAATGCGCACCAGGATTCCCAACAGGCGGAGCTATGCAGAGAGACAGTCTGACAGGCTGGACCATTAATCCACTCACATAAACATAGCAAAAATGAGAACTGAACAGATATAAAGGGTATTTTGATGGAACAATTGTTAGGACTTCTTAGGTCAAAGGTAGGAAGATAAAACAAAATAACAACAAAAAAAGAATAAAAGGTAAAGGGCTGCACTGGGCAACCTGAAGAAGAATGGTGACATGAACAGAAATAAGGTGTTTAGCTAGGTGGTCTTCGGGGAACATGCTGCTTGT